CTGGCAACCACTTCCTAGCATTCTTTTCTCTTGGCTAAGTGACTTGTGATTGGTGAGTATGTCCTTTGGCCAGACCTCACTGTAATAGACTTGCCGTCGAGATGTACAGGGTGACCACAAGATAGAAAAGGCTCAGTGGCATGGATTTGGTGTATGGTTCTGCTTTCCCACATACAAAAATAAGGGATGCATTTCCAAGCAAATACCCTGTGTTAGGATGTTTTTGATGATGAGAGAAATAGTAGGAATACCATTTGAGATATTGTTACTTTCTAGTCTAAAGCTTGTGACTTGAACTCACACTGCCATTAATTTAACAAAAACAAACAAACAAAAATCAAAAAAACAATTTTAACTATGCCTACGGACCTTTCTCAAGTGCTATGTCATCATAGGTTTAGAAAGTTTTCTGGCCCTCTGTTTTAAGATTTTAAATGGCAATTGAAATGATGACCTGTTAGCTTGGCTATTACCAAAAAGTCAAACCATCATGAGAGTTGGTGAAGATTCCCACTGTGGGTGAAATTATAAAGTTTAGCCATTATGAAAAACAGTGTGGAAGTTCCTCAAGAGATTAAAAATAGAACTACTATACAATCCAGCAATTCTACTTCTGGGTAATATGCAAAAGAAACGAAATAATTATTTAGAAGCAATATTAGCACATGTTGATTGTAGTACTTTCACAATAGCTAAGACATTGAATAAACCTAAATATCTATCAGTGGGTGAATGGATAAAGAAAATGTGTTATACATACACAATGGAATATCATTCAACATAAAAACGAAGGAAAACTTTTCCTACAACAGGATGTACCTGGAGGACATTATGCTAAATGAAGTAAGCTAGGCACAGAGAAAGACAAGTACTGTGTGATCTCACTTACATGTATAATCTAAAAAATCAAATTTGCAGAAGCAGAGAGTAGAATGGTGGTTTACCCGGAGATGGGGGAAAAGGAGATGGGAAGATTATTTTCAAAGGATATAACGTTACAGTTAGATGTGAGAAATACATTCTGGAGATCTACTTTACAGTGTGGTGATTTGAGTTAATAATATTGTATACCTGAAACTTGCTCAGGGTAGATTTTAAATGTTCTCAGCACAAAAAAATATATGAGGTGATGGACATGGTAATTAACTTTCTTTAATAATTCTATAATGTATATCAAAACATCCTGTTGTACACAATAAGTATGTACAATTTTATGTCAATTAAAAATAAATAAAAATGATGCATTAGTATTTAGAGTATTTAGGTATTATTATTGCTCTATATTGATCAAGATTACTTGCATTTTCAGACTGAACTAACCTACTTAGAGTCATATTGAATGAGTGCACCGGATCTCTTACATTGAACAGTTCAGAAGTACTTCAAATGTACTTCTGGTATACTCAAAGTATAGAATGGAGCACAGGTCAATGAAATGTTGTGATATGACTTAAAATATGAAGTCTGGGCTTAAAATAAGATAAAAATTTATCTGTGAAATGATAATCAGCATTTGCATATATATATATATTTAACTCTTCCACCACTACAGGCAGTTGGAATAGAATATTAGGTATTTGTTATTAGTCATATTTGGATTTTAACCCACTCGGCTGAGTTCCAGATTGAATAGGTTTCTGAATCTCCAGCTGATAGTAATTTTACCTCTGGACAAAATATTAAAACATTTTTTTTTCCTGTTATATGTAGGGGCTGGAAAGTAGCTGAATGTTGCTCTCCGGGCAGAACCTAGGAGAACATAATCCTGGAGAGAGGGGAGGGAAGTTGGTAAGCATCATATTAACAGTTTGTTCCTCGAGGGCACTTCCCAGTTCATAGTTGCTTATAAAAAAAGTATTGCAAATAGAATGTGACTATCTTATTAGGCTGAAGAGATAGAAATTGAATCTGGGGGCTGCTAGAGTAGCTAGAAAGAAATCAATGAGATTGGGGCTGGCAGGTGGCTTGGTAGTTAAGGGTGTTGGACTCCCACATGGCTGGCTATGGCTCAAGTCCCGAACCTGGCATCTTGCTCTCTCTCTCTCTTTGTCCCTCTCTGGTCAAATTGAAATAAATAAATGAATGAATAAATAAAGTTAAATAAAATAATTTAAAAAAATCAATGAGAAACATTCTTTATTTTGAGAGTTTTTTGCTATAGGGCACATGTGCTCGCCAGAAAGACAGAGAGAGAGAGACAGAAAGTGAGAAATCACCCCCCAGGGTGGATGGCCACTCTGCAATCCCTTCTCTTCCATTCTCCTCTTGGGATCTTGGGCACACACGCACATGTGCCCGGCATGAGTTTAAGCCACTGGGTCCGGGACTCAAACCGCGGGCGACTACATGGGAGTCCAGCAACATAGCCATTATGCTAACTGCTGGTCCCAATGAGAAACATTCTTAAAGGAAGAATAGAGCTATAGAGGGAAGAACCCTAAAATCTCCGTACAAATTTTCCTTCAGATTTATGGCTAATTCTTTATCTGTGCATGTGCAGAGTGAGAAACCTGCAGAAAGTCTCAGTCTTCTAGCAGAAACCTTCAGATTTTAGCAGCTACTTGGCTCTGAGCGACAGTTGGAATTCAAGTCCTGCTAAGTTACAGAGACTTGTAAAATCTTTAGACTTTTCCTTGAAACTCTAAGAGGGCCATAACTTAGTAGTAAACCCAAGTATAAAGGACTCCATCCTACGGCTAAGGGAAGAAGCAAAATAAACCCAATTTTATAAAATATAAAGCTAAGTGTGTAGTTTGCATATATCTCTGAAATTCATGCGTTGGGACTTGTTTTGTAAAGATGTAAAGTGAAAACTTAATCCTTTCATAGAATCTCAGGGTTGGACCTTTGGGTGTGATAAGGTCTTTTGAGCAAGGCCCCTGTGATTGATTTCATTTGTTCCCTAAAATGTTATGCATCTCCTACCCACTCTAGAAGGGAAACTCAAATTGTAAGTAGCTTAGAGAAGGCAGTGTCCATGAGGGGACACATCTGGGAATAAGCAAATATTCAAAAGATACTATTAAACAATAGATACTGTTTTTTTTTTTTTTTCTTAAGGCTATTTTTTTTTTGCCCCAGGGAAGCCTTTTAAGGGATTTGGCAGGCCCCGTTTAAGCATTTTCAGACTGAACTAACCTACTTAGAGTCATATTGAATGAGTGCACCGGATCTCTTACATTGAACAGTTCAGAAGTACTTCAAATGTACTTCTGGTATACTCAAAGTATAGAATGGAGCACAGGTCAATGAAATGTTGTGATATGACTTAAAATATGAAGTCTGGGCTTAAAATAAGATAAAAATTTATCTGTGAAATGATAATCAGCATTTGCATATATATATATATTTAACTCTTCCACCACTACAGGCAGTTGGAATAGAATATTAGGTATTTGTTATTAGTCATATTTGGATTTTAACCCACTCGGCTGAGTTCCAGATTGAATAGGTTTCTGAATCTCCAGCTGATAGTAATTTTACCTCTGGACAAAATATTAAAACATTTTTTTTTCCTGTTATATGTAGGGGCTGGAAAGTAGCTGAATGTTGCTCTCCGGGCAGAACCTAGGAGAACATAATCCTGGAGAGAGGGGAGGGAAGTTGGTAAGCATCATATTAACAGTTTGTTCCTCGAGGGCACTTCCCAGTTCATAGTTGCTTATAAAAAAAGTATTGCAAATAGAATGTGACTATTTTATTAGGCTGAAGAGATAGAAATTGAATCTGGGGGCTGCTAGAGTAGCTAGAAAGAAATCAATGAGATTGGGGCTGGCAGGTGGCTTGGTAGTTAAGGGTGTTGGACTCCCACATGGCTGGCTATGGCTCAAGTCCCGAACCTGGCAGCTTGCTCTCTCTCTCTCTTTGTCCCTCTCTGGTCAAATTGAAATAAATAAATGAATGAATAAATAAAGTTAAATAAAATAATTTAAAAAAATCAATGAGAAACATTCTTTATTTTGAGAGTTTTTTGCTATAGGGCACATGTGCTCGCCAGAAAGACAGAGAGAGAGAGACAGAAAGTGAGAAATCACCCCCCAGGGTGGATGGCCACTCTGCAATCCCTTCTCTTCCATTCTCCTCTTGGGATCTTGGGCACACACGCACATGTGCCCGGCATGAGTTTAAGCCACTGGGTCCGGGACTCAAACCGCGGGCGACTACATGGGAGTCCAGCAACATAGCCATTATGCTAACTGCTGGTCCCAATGAGAAACATTCTTAAAGGAAGAATAGAGCTATAGAGGGAAGAACCCTAAAATCTCCGTACAAATTTTCCTTCAGATTTATGGCTAATTCTTTATCTGTGCATGTGCAGAGTGAGAAACCTGCAGAAAGTCTCAGTCTTCTAGCAGAAACCTTCAGATTTTAGCAGCTACTTGGCTCTGAGCGACAGTTGGAATTCAAGTCCTGCTAAGTTACAGAGACTTGTAAAATCTTTAGACTTTTCCTTGAAACTCTAAGAGGGCCATAACTTAGTAGTAAACCCAAGTATAAAGGACTCCATCCTACGGCTAAGGGAAGAAGCAAAATAAACCCAATTTTATAAAATATAAAGCTAAGTGTGTAGTTTGCATATATCTCTGAAATTCATGCGTTGGGACTTGTTTTGTAAAGATGTAAAGTGAAAACTTAATCCTTTCATAGAATCTCAGGGTTGGACCTTTGGGTGTGATAAGGTCTTTTGAGCAAGGCCCCTGTGATTGATTTCATTTGTTCCCTAAAATGTTATGCATCTCCTACCCACTCTAGAAGGGAAACTCAAATTGTAAGTAGCTTAGAGAAGGCAGTGTCCATGAGGGGACACATCTGGGAATAAGCAAATATTCAAAAGATACTATTAAACAATAGATACTGTTTTTTTTTTTTTTTTCTTAAGGCTATTTTTTGTTTGCCCCAGGGAAGCTGTTGAAGGTATTTGGCAGGCCCTGTTAAAGTCACACAACTTTTCGCTTGAATTGAGAGGTTACTGGCAATTTAGCGCTCCATTATCTTCCAATCCAACTAGCAACCACTCGCTTGCTATGTCCATTAAGCTAGTTCTGAGAAGCCTAGGCTTCCATGTACAGTGAAATTTTTTTTGAAATTTATTTTTATTTCTTTCTTTCAAGAGTAAGAAAGACAGAGATAGAGAGGGACAGCACTCTCAACAGAGTGTTGATGTAGCTGTCTACCCCCAGCCTCAGCTAGCCCCAGATTATGGACATTCACTTACCTGGCTTACTTGAGGAGTTCTCTGGATTCCAACCAGCAACCTTCTCGTGTGGGATTGCCTCACAAAGGATTGTGTTTACCGCCAAACCATGGCCACCTGGCCCCCCACAGTGGTAATTCTGTTAAGGGAATCACAGCCCCATTGGTCCATTCCCAAGGAGCAGTTGTAGCTTCACCATCTTTAAGGGATACAGACACACTGGGACACATTCTGAGGAGGGCAGAGAATGAGAAGACACAAAAATATGAAGAATGAGGAGCAGATGAAGGAACTGATATTCAGCCTGGAGAAGGAAAGGTCCATGTATAATAGTTACCAGAGCTGTCTTCAAATGGTCAGAGGGTTGACAGGTTGTCATGAGGAAGGACAGCTAAATTTGTCTTTTGTGACCTCAAGGAAAAGGATTAGAGGAAAGGCAGGATCATTCCAGGGTCTTGATTCAATGTCAGGATATCTTTTTAGCTGTCATTGGATCTGCAGGAAAGAGAGGACGGGGCTCTTTTAAGGGGTAGAGGGTAATTCGAGCTTTGACTAGACAATGTTTACTGTGATGTGAAAGGAGTTTTGAATATTAGCAGGGCATTGAAACCAAATGAGAGGTAAGGTGCCTTGAATCTTGTTGGTGTAAAGACCCAGTGCTCTTTAGAGATTATCCCCAGGGTTAAGGCTGACATACAGCAATGTGTGTGGCAAAAGCTGACATACAGCAATGTGGCTAAGGCCTGGAGCTGCCTTAATCACAGTATATGGAGTGCATATGTGCATATGTGGGCATATTTTAAATTTAGGAAGAGACTGAAAAGAATAAGGAATCAAATTAAATCAGTACTAGAAATTGATGTGGGCAGAAGGTAATTAATCGTCATCAAATACTGAAAATAGCAATCAGGTCATAATAGCTGTATGGTTTCATTAGCAGAGGCATTTTAAATATTGTAGTTTTTAAGCAAGAGAAGTGATAAGGAAGTTATCTTGTTGGATTATTTTACATAATGGAGGTTTGTAAAAAAGTAAAGTTAGCACAGAAGACAAAGTGGAAACATTTACTTTTTAACCACATGTTCATCTCCATTAGGAGCAAGTCCTAAGCATTTTAGAGCTGAAATCTGCATTCAACTCTCCCTTCGCCTGCCTCTTGCTTTGCTGGATGGCTAACCATCGGTGACTTGCCCTTCATCACAGTCAGTGTCTGTGACAAGGGCCTGGCCATCTCTTGTCTCAAATCTACTGAGTTGCCTACCTAGAGTTTAACTTGGAACAGTCCCCATCTCTGCCTTCTAATTAAGGGCCCACTCATGTCCACTTACGGCTGAATTTGGGTGTCAGTTTGTTGCCCTGTTCAGAGCTCTCATCTGGGTGTTCCTCCTGGATGCTTTTTAAGAGGACATTGTGCCATGAAAAGAAACACCTTAGAAAGGGACTGACATGTGCTATTGACTTAGTAAATACTTTATTTATCCCAGTAAAATCCTATTACAGAAAATGCAATTCCAAATCATGCTCTCTTCCTGAGATCCACATGACCTGCATTTTATTTATCAAGCACCATTTAATTCTTTATAATGAATTATGTA